CCGCAAGCATGTACATGCAGAACTGTTTAAACTAAGGTGAATGAATGTTTACTACATATATACATACACATCCATATCTTATAGTATACAGATTCACATATGCATAGATGAATCTAGGCTCAGGTAGGCATGCAAGCAAAGCGAGAGCGAGACAGGACGCAGTGAGGCAGGGAGGCAGGGAGAGAAAGAGATAGGGAGAGAGGGAAGAGGTCGTCAGGGAGGGAGGGAGGGAGAGAGAGCGAGAGAGAGAGAGAGAAGGAAATTCGAGAGAGACAGAGAGAGGAGAAAGAGACAGAGAGAGCAAGAGCTCGAGGAGGCAGAACACCCTAAACCCTAAACCCTAAACCCTAAACCCAAAACCCTAAACAGTCCCAACTGCGGCCCAGCCACACCACATCCCGGACTTTTGCTCTTGCCTCATCGACCTGGTTGTGAAGGGCTTCAGTTCAAATCTCTCTCTCTCTCTGTCTCTCGCAAGGGTTTCGATGCTATTCTCTGAAGAAGACGTAGCACGTAGCAGCAGTACAACCAAAAGTTTGGGGCTCTTGTTCAGCAGTTCAGCAGGCTTGGCTTTGGGATGGTTTCGCTTGGCACACGCCTACTGGACTGGGGCAGCGAAGCTCACAAAATGAAGCGCCCAAATCCTGCTCCCGAAGTCCCCCAACCGAGAGGGCCTTAAAACCCCAAGCCCGAAAACCTACCCTCCTCTCCCCTAATGAAGGGGAAGAAGCCTTAAACCATATATGGACCTTGACATGATTGAAAGTTAAATTGCTTATTTAAGGTCTTTATTTAATTGAATATACCTTCAACTGGATGGGTTATGTATGTGGCCAGTGTCCAGGCAGAGATGCCTTTTGAAAGACCCGCTGCATGGAGGGGCGCTTGAGCTCAGGGCGTAGAGCCAAGTACCTTGGGCATGATGGGCTGCAGGGTTTAGGGTTTAGGAACAAAAATCAGGAAGCACTCTAAACCCTAAGCATTAAACCTCTAAACTGTAAAACTTATACAAAGATTTCAAGGGTACTGTTGGGAGTCAAGGCTTAAAAACGGAGCTGTTGAGTTGTAGGGTTTAGGGTTTAGGGTTTAAGTTGTAGAAATGGGTCAGAATAGGCACGATCTAGAGACTGCGGACCCCAAAGTGTGGGGAGTGGGGGCTAAGTTGTATACTTGGAGTGCTGGGGTAATCCTAAGCCCTAAATCCTACACAGAAGTAAAGTGCTGGAGGTTCGCATTTCGACTTCTCAGATCTTTGGGCTGTCAAGGCTTTTCAAGCGCGCAAGGAAGAGACTGAGCAGAAACAAGCGGGAGGCTAAGAGAAACTTTTCACTCGACTCCCGGATCATAGGCGTCGCGACAACGCCCATTCTCTGCCTTGACCCTAAGCCCTTGAACCCCCAAACCCAAAACCTATAACAACTACACCATCATATAAACCTCAAATCGCAACCTGAAAATCTGGTCCACGAGTCCGCTGAACCCTAAAGAATGCTCTAGCAGCCTGAGCTCTCACTCACTAAGTGGTCCCTGTAACCGACGCATAGAAACCTAGTTGTCCAGTAACCTGGGGGAATTAAAGGTTCACCTTTGGGATTACAAAGGGATTATCCTACCCCAAAAAGGTTAAAGGTTGCCTACTCGGCTACTAGGGAAAGAGCAAGCTTGCTTGTTTTATATTATCAGGCTCAGCTAGGCTGCCCAGTAACCTAGGCTTAAAAAGGGTGCCCTTTTTTGCTTAAAGGGGTTTATAAGGGAACCTAAACCCCCCCCAAAAAGGGAATAAGGGCACTACTGGGCATCCTAGTCAGGGTTGCGGATTTAGGGTCCAGGCTGGCCCCAGGAAGAATCAAACTAAATCAGGAACCTTAGTAGCCCCAAAACACACAGCACAAGGGTAGCGGGGAGGTGGTTCAGGTCCCTAAACCCCAAACCCCAAACCCCAAACCCTAAACCCTAAACCCGACACCTAAACCCTAAGGTCCAACTTTCACATGCCGGGGTGCCATGACTCCCCCAGTCGGGGCTCCCACTCGGCTTGCAACGCCTCATCTTCTGCCGACGTGGTGCCTGTTCGGGTTTAGGGTTTAGGGTTTAGGGTTTAGGGTTTAGGGTTTAGGGTTTAGGGTTTAGGGTTTAGGGTTTAGGGTTTAGGGTTTAGGGTTTAGGGTTTAGGGTTGAGGGGTTTAGGGTTGAGGGTTGTGTCCTCATCCCCTGGGGCCTTTGATGGTAGATGTGCATCTTCGCATTGGGACATGAGTTTATGTTCTGCTTCTGTATTTAGAAGGAGCAGAATTTGCAATTGTTTAGGCTCTCGTGCGTTCGCAACTGGATGCGGCAACTGTCCAGGCCACTGGGGTTATTCTTGAAACAAGGCGGTTCAGCTTCGGAATCGGCTGGCAAACCCTGACCTTGAATCCCGGGCCAGCATCGTCACGCCTTTACTCAACCTCAAACACGAAGCATGGAATCTTAAACACTAAACCTTGAGCCCTTCAGTTCTGGTAACCCCTCAGCCCCCGCAGTTCGCAGCACGCCCTAGCACGCCGCATGGCCAGTCTTGGGGCCGTCTCAGCACAACTTTCTAGACTTCAAAAGACCTTAGCCCCTCTACAGCACGCTAGAATTCCCCCAGTGCGCACAAACGCGGCCGAGCAGCCACTATCAACAGCCTGAGGCGTGGCCGGACCCCGGCCGAAGGCTGCAAAGAGGGTGCTCTGCCTTGGGCTTGTGGGGTTTTGGGGAGCACTTTGCTTCAAGCTCACGAGTACCTACAAGTGATGAAGAAGACTACCTGAATTACATACACTGCACACACATATATATATATATATATGTATATGTATATATATATAGACACACATTTGTAAATATGAATATATACATATTGAAGATATTATACGAAGTGGTGCCATAAATTATTTCAATGGTTTCGGTTCTGATGTAGTGAAGTCTTCTGCAATACAACTCTAACGCCGTCGGTCGGCAGCTGCGGCGGAGGGCCCAGCCAAACGGGTCGGACTAATTACTAATGTTTTTTCCCTTATGGCCCTTGTATAACTCTACTATAAAGAAACAGCCCCCTGTTATTATTACTAAGGCCCCCCTAAACCCTAAACCCTAAACCCTAAACCCTAAACCCTAAACCCCAAACCCTAAACCCCAAACCCTAAACCCTAAACCCTAAACCCTCAACCCTAAACCCTCTATTAGGCACCTTGAGTCTCTGAAAACGAAGGCTAAGACCGACCAGGGGCTTCTTCGCCGGAGCCGATGGCCGTCCGCCACCTGAGGTTGGGCAAAAAGGGGTTTAGGGTTTAGGGTTTAGGGTTTAGGGTTTAGGGTTTAGGGTTTAGGGTTTAACACTAAGCGCTAAACCGTAAACCCTACACCCTAGAACCTAAACCCTAAACCCTATAACCTTATAAACCCAACACCCTTTGCTTTTTGCTTGTTCTTCTGTGGCTCCTATTGGGGGGGGGGGCATATTCGGGAGTCAACCCTGCAGCTTTGCAGCAACCGGTCTAGGGTTGAGGGTTCGGGCCTGTGGGGCTTGAGCTCATGTCCCCCAGCAACCTAGGAATAGCACAGGAACCTCCCTTCTGCTTGGTGGCCTCTGAGGGAACTGAACCCCCTCCCTCCGCAAGAAAGGGACCAAAGAATACAGGGTACTCCTTGAAATGCTCCCCCTCAGACTATAACAGCCCTTATGATAGGGATTCTAGTACCCCCCCCCCCCTCTTGTAATCCCTATGCAGGACTGTTAGTACCTGGGGGAACATCCCAAGGTGCCACGGGGAATCAAGCCCCATGACGTGTTCGCTCCCAAGGAAGCCCGGGCCCCCAAATGCCGCGATCCTACCGCAACTCCTGCCAGGTTCTTGGTTAGTAGGGTTTAGGGTTTAGGGTTTAGGGTTTAGGGTTGCGAGTATACGTCCTGAGTTCCTGTAGCATACTGAGTCGTACCTTCCTTGCAAGTACACTGTGAGCTTTTCAAGCAGGGACATCCGGCAAAAAATCGCCCAGCGCCTCCTTCCACACGCTGGCGCTTCGCCGGAGCTGCACCCTCCACATCGATCACATCCATGGCGCCCAAGCTTAAGCTTTCGTGGCCCCAGGTTTATGGGGAAACTCACGGACCAATGGCTGCAGACGTCACCACCAGGAAGAGCCTGCAGAAGACCCAACAAGACCTGTAATCCAAGAGGGCGGCCCAAGATCACACCCATTGGCCCCGCCTCAGGTATAAGAGCTGCGGTTTAGGGTTTAGGGTTTGATCGAAGAAGCATGCGCTGCCAGCTTAAACGCTAAAGGTTAACCGGCGATTTGTCATCAATTTCAAGTGCCACACAGGACTCAGAAGGAGGGCGAGTGGTTAATGCGACATCGGAGAATTAGGGGCCTAATACATGGATTTTTTGTGTGTGGGGGGGGGGGAGGAGGTGAGGGGGTGGTATAATAGTATGAGTATATAGCGCCCGTAAGGGAATACTATTAGCAAGTAGTCCGACCCCTATATGGGTTGGCAAGAAGATGTCACAAGGATTGAAATCTTGCCTTGCCGTTGCCTTGAGGATTGATCAAGATCTGTAGGCATGTCTACATATGGCCCAACACGTGCAAACAAAGCCAAACCTTGGCAATCGCACAAAACCCTAAACCCTAAACCCTGATGGGCCTAAAGGCTTCAACTCCAAAACCTCCATGTCTGCAGAATTCGTGATGAGGATGCGGAGGCCGAAGCCCCGGGACCCCTAAACCCCTAAACCCTAATCCCTAAAACCCGAAAACGCTGAAACCCTAAATCCATAACCTCTCCACCCTAACCGCCCCCTTCCCCCCTTCCCCCCCCCACCCCGTCCCTTTGCTTCTCATGTAGGGCGTTGAACTGACAAAAAAAAACCAGGTTTCTCCTTGGACCCATTAAGGTTCTACCCTTAGGTTTTCCCATTAAGGTTCTACCCTGGGACCCTCCCTAAACCCTAAACCCTTAACCCCTCTTCCTCGCGCTCTCCAGAGTCTTCGTGGCATAGGTAGAGGTCCATGTACAGGTCCAGGTCGCAGCCCTGAGACTCGCATCTGAAGAGCTCCTAAGCCCTAAACCCTAAACCCTGAACCCGAAACCCTGAACCCTAAACCCTGAACCCTACAGTACACCCTAAACCCTAAACCCTAAACCCTAAACCCTAAACCCTAAACCCTAAACCCTAAACCCTAAAACCAGCCCCCAACCCTTGAAGCCTTGAAGCTTTAAGCCTCTTGGCAAGTCAAACATAGATGCGCCATGAACTAAGGTACTAAAGGGTCTGGGGTCTGGAGATTTCGGATTTCGGGATGCGGGATTAAGTTTACGGTTTTTGCGACTCAGGGACCTTCAGGAACAGGTTTAGGGCTTTGGGGTTTAGGGTTTAGGGTTTGGGGTTTAGGGTTTGGGGTTTAGGGTTTAGGTTTAGGGCTTTGGAGAGTTAAAGTTTGCCTGCTCCTTCGAGCAAGGGGACCTGCAAACCGAAGGCATGTGCCCGAAACGCGTGACTTAGGTTGGGATGTTCCCCCTTATACTAACAGTCCTTGATAGGGATTCTAATACCCCCCCATGAATAATCCCGATTAAGGACTGTTAGTAGAAGGGGGAACATCCCAAGGTTTACAAGGACTTTGTAAGATTCAGGGCTCCGGAGGCGTGAGTCGTTTGTGTTCAAACACAATGGGAGTGATGCCACACACGGCTTCGTGCGAAAAAGAGAAGAGAGAACTTGGCCCATCGGCTCGGGAAAAACTATTGCACGAGCGATCTTCTCACTTGAAAATCGCTAGTAAGTCGAGTGAAGGCACTGCAAGTCTACAGTGGGTGGGAGGGGAGGGGGGGCAGTGGCCCAAAAAAACCACATTAACATAAGGATTCTGCCAAGAGGGTGTTCCAGAATCCCCCTTATAGGGGAGCAACTGCCCAAATAATAGGATTCCTAATGTTTACGTGGCCTACAGGGCCCCAAAGGAGGGTTGTTTCCGGGCATGGCATGCCGCTGGGCTCCGCTTCGTTGGCGAGTTTAGGGAATTTTTTTTTTTAGGGTGTAGGGTGTAGGGTGTAGGGTTTAGGGTTTAGGGTTTAGGGTTTAGGGTTTAGGGACGGGAGCCGAGCCGGGGCATTTGCACTCCAATTGCCTGCTCGTGTAGCTGCTGGGCTGCAGCTCAAACGTTGTAGGGGTTTAGGGCTTGGGGCTTCGCACCCTAAACCCTAAACCCTAAGCCCGAAACCCTAAACCATAAACCCTGAGCCTTAGGGTGTTTGGGTTATTTAGGAGATTCGGTGCAGAGGCTTCGGGACATCCTCCTGCTTGCGGCTTAAGAGTCCAGGTAGCTGTCCAGAAAGCGCCCTTCCCAGTCGCTGGAGCACTCCTTGGCTGGATTCCCTGAACCCGAATGAACCCCAAAAACTTGGGGTTTAGGGTTTAGGGTTTAGGGTTTAGGGTTTAGGGTTTAGGGTTTAGGGTCACTTCTCCAAATTAGGGTTTCTTTTGGGGTTACTGTTAGAAGGCGGCCCCTGATGTTTAGGATACCCAAACAGGGACCATCATGACATGTTGAGAACTGACCATCTCGGGATGCTAGGGATTATGGGGCTTACGTCAATTAATCCGATTGTAGGATTTAGTGCGCAGCTCGGAATGTGGCATTTTCTGGGTTTGGGACGTCAGGGTGCAGGTTTCAGAGTTTCGCGACTTCCCCCTGCCATTAAGCAGAAGCTCACTTGAACTAAGAAGGAGGCAGCGATCAACGATGATTTAGAGGGCTAATTTGTCGGCCCTCCGCAATCCGAAGGATGTTAGAGTTTGGAGTGTAGCCTCAATACCTCAAGACCCAAAGCTCCAAAGCTCTGAATCCTAAACCCTCAGTAAACATCCCTAAACCCCTAAACCCTGAATCGCCAAAGCCCTCTGACGCCCCCGAAAGCCTTCTTCTCTGAAGCTGAAAGGCCACGTCATCCAGGGAAGGATCAGCTGGCATGGGCGGATCAGCTGGCACGGGAAGGTCGGAAAAGTTCCTGCCCAGGGTTTAACCCTAAACCCTAAACCCTAAACCCTAAACCCTAAACCCTAAACCCTAAGCCCTAAGCCCTAAACCCTAAACCCTAAACCCTTTAGGGTTTAAGGTTTAGGGTTTAGGGTTGTGGATGAAGGTTTGGGATTGGATGCTTCTGCGGGGCGCAGTCTGAGCCCCAAACCCCAAACCCCAAACCCCAAACCCCAAACCCCAAACCCCAAACCCCAAACCCCAAACCCCAAACCCCAAAATCCCTAAACCCTAAACCCTAAACCCTAAACCCTAATCCCTAGACCCTAAACCCTAAACCCTAAACCCTAAACCTTAAACCCTAAACCCTAAACCCTAACCCTAAACCCTAAACCCTAAACCCTAAACCCTTGCTAATTTTAGGGCACCTAAAGCAGAAGCATAAGAGCGGATAGTTGGGACGGTTCTGGCCTATACCCGGTCATCTGGCCGAGCCGCGGAAGATCATCCAGGGACTCTAACTGCGGCATCTGCTGGAAGAAGGCGCGCCTGCGAGGCTTGTTTAGGTTTCGGGTTTAGGGTTTAGGGTTTAGGGTGTAGGGTGTAGGGTGTAGGGTTTAGGGTTTAGAATTTAGGGTTTAGGGTTTAGGGTTTAGGGTTTAGGGTTTAGGGTTTAGGTTTAGAGTTCAGGGTCGGATTCTGGGGATCGAGACCAACCATGTGTTTTGAAGAGGCCGGGTGCGCATGAGAGAGGGACTGAGTGACATGGATCTAAATGCCGCAGTGGTTCGGACTGTGGCTGTTCGTGCGCCTGAATAACATTTTCACTGGAGAAAACTCACTGCAGATGATGAGAAACAGATCACGAGCCTAAACTCAAAAAAACAAGGTCTATACTCTCTACCCTAAACCCTAAACCCTCGTTCCTAAACCCTAATGCCTCGTTCCTAAACCCACAGTACAATGTCGGCCGAGGCCCCGACCGTGAGAAGCCCGGCAGAAAAGTGGCAGGGTTGCCACGTACTGTAAGATCCTTGGTAGCCCAGTAACCATCTGAAATAAAGGGTTTAGAGTTTAGGGTTTAGGGTTAGGGTTTAGGGTTTAGGGTTTACGGTTTAGGGTTTAGGGTTTAGGGCTTTTTTTGGTTGGTTACTTCATAAGGGGAACCTCGAACCAAAAACAAGGAAAAGGGTACCACTGGGCTACGAAGGGTCTCGAAGTCCGAAGCACTTGGTCAGCCTGGGTGGAAGCCGGCGGTTTACGACTTAAGGTACATGGTTTAGGGTTCTATAGGGTCTAGGGGCCTATAGGGTTTAGTTTTAGGGTTTAGGGTTTAGGGTTTAGGGTTTAGGGTTTATAGGGTCTTGGAGCCTATAGGGTTTAGTTTTAGGGTTTAGGGTTTTGGGTTTCAGGTGTCCGGATTTTGGGGCTACGGCTACCTTCGTGGAGTCGGAGATCATGGAGGTTCTGGACACCGGAATGCAAAAGCGGCAGAGCTGTGGCCGAAACCTTTTGTTTGTGTAGGTGACGCGGAGGAGTCCTTCCTATAACCTGCATCCTGAACTCCTTCCCCCAAAACAAGACAGGCCATGAGATGAGGAGCAAGTTCATAAGAAGCCAATCTTGGTAGCCCAGCAACCATATTCTAATAAGGGCACCCTTTCTTGGGTCGGCTACTTCATAAGGGAACCTTGAACCAAAAAAGGGGGTGGGCGACCAAGCCATAGTTGGGGTTCAGGCACTCCAGCAAAATGTCCAGAAACACTTCCCCTACAAGCCCTCTCTTAAACACCTAACCTCACTTACGCTAAACCCTAAACCCTAAACCCCAAACCCCAAACCCTAAACCCTAAACCCGACACCTTGAACCCTCAACCCCACATGGTGCCGACGTCCTCTCCGAAGCCTCTGCCATGCAAGGGGCTCGGCCAAGTCTTCCGGCTCTGCAACAGCGTTGCCCTCCAAGTCCAAGACCTGCCGAGGCTTGGGGGGTTTAGGGTTTAGGGTTTAGGGTTTAGGGTTTAGGGTTTAGGGTTTAGGGTTTAGGGTTTAGGGTTTAGGGTTGACACCTTGCAGGATCTGAAAGCAGAGGCCCCCCGCCGCACTCGAAATCGAATGCCTTACGTCTACTGCCGCTGCTACTCGTGTACTTCTCCTAGACCAAAGAGTAACCCAGGTGGCTTAGGCTTTAGGGTTTGGGGCTTCGGGTTTAGGGTATAAAAGCCGTTTTGGTATGTGAAGGGGCTTATAAGGGAACCTAAGCCAACAAAACGGGAACAAGGACCCACAGCCACTTGCTACGAGTAGGAAAGCGACTGAATACAATACAGGAACCTTTCAGGGTGATCCACTTTCCAGATCTCCTCCTCTGCTTGGCTTTTCGGTCCCATTTAGGCTGAAGAGGGCTTCGGTTGAAGACTGGGGTTCGAGGTTGAGGGTTTTCGCTTGAGGAAGCTTCTAGGCTTCCAGCAACGCCGCCTGCAAGTGGTCCAACCACTTCGGCCATGTGACGTCAACCACGTCATTGAAGGGCAGGTACAGCTCACGCAGGCCCTGGATGGGAAGGTTAGCTGTGAGGATCTGGAAAAAGAACACCAGTAGAAGTTCTACTGCTGCTATTGAGTTCTGTATAGGAGCGCTGTGCTAAATCGGCTGGGTTATGGATCCAAGCAAAATTGGACCCCACGCCCGAAAGGGCCAAAGCCCAAACATGATGATGCCCCGTAAGTACGAGATGCTAAACTGTCAGCCCTCAGCCCTACATCACTCTACCCAGACCCTCCAGAAGGATCTCTAAAGTAGATACCCTAAACTTCGAACCCTAAACCGTAAACTTTAAACCCTAAACCCGAAACCCTAAACCCCATTTATATGCGCTCCTGTAAAAACATGAAGCTGGGACTTCTTCATTTGTTGGATGGATCGCAGAAGCTACTCTACGTTTCAACTCCAAAACCTGAGCCTTTAAACCCGAAAGCCCAAACAAATAACCAAAAGACCGCAAACAACCCTACAACGCAACCTACAGCAAACCTGAACAACCCTAAAGCTTCCAGAAGGGGAAGGCCAACTGACTGTTGCAACTAGATTCTAGTACCCGGGCTTAGGGCTCAGGATTCAGGGTTTAGTGTTTTGGGTTTAGGGCTCCGGATTTGGGGTTTCGGGCTTTGCGCTTAGGGCTTTGGGTTGAGGGTTTAGGGTCCCTAAAGCCTCCAAAAGGGGAAGGCCATCCAGATCTTGGAGACCACATCGCCCGAGCCACAGCACCTCTCGACGATTCCGGTTTAGGGTTTAGGGTTTAGGGTTTAGGGTTTAGGGTTTAGGGTTTAGGGTTTAGGGTGTTAGGGTGTTAGGGTGTTAGGGTGTTAGGGTGTTAGGGTTTAGGTTTAGGGATTGGGGTTTAGGGCTCATAGTTTAGGGTTTAGGGTTCCCAGGTGTGGGGGCTCACGTGGCGTCTACGGGTTCGAAGTTTGGGGTTTAGGAGTTGAGGGTTTGGGGTTTGGGGTTTAGGGTTTGGGGGCGTGCCGAGATGTCAGGGGCCACATGAAAACATGAGCCCCAGCAGATTCATCCTCGTGGAGAATGGACCAGCCCCCTGGTTTGTCGACAATGCCGCCTCTTAGGGTTTCGGGCTTAGGCTTAGGACTTCGGCTTAGGGCTTAGGGCTTACAGGGTTTACAGGGGTTATAGGGTTTATAGGGTTTATAGGGTTTATAGGGTTTATAGGGTTTATAGGGTTTATAGGGTTTATAGGGTTTAGGGTTTATAGGGTTTAGGGTTTAGGGTTCAGGCAGGCTCCACCCCGCCAATGAAGCTAAGCCTTCCCCCTTCAGAAGCCAATGTACAAGCACTGCGTCGCCTGCAGCTTGGTGAGGTGCGCGCCCAGCTCGCGCACCTCAGGAGCATCTGCGGTGTAGGGTTTTGGGGTCCAGGGGTTAGGGTTTAGGGTTAGGGTTTAGGGTTTAGGGCTTGGGTTTAGGGTTTTGGGTTCATACGCGTAGGGGCACCCTCACTATACTGACTTTAGCCATAAGGGAGTTAGAACCTAAGTAGCACATACAGCCCGATTTAGGCCCTTCTAGCCCTATGTATAACTAGGGAGCACCCACTTTTAGTAGGCATAGGCTTATGCTCGAGGGAGGTTAGAGGCCCACACCGCTAGGCCGCGGCAGGCGGTCTACGAGAGCACGACATTGCACCTATCGACATCCTTAACCAGATCCCTGGCCGGATCTGGAAGAACGAGAAGCCCGCCTTGGGGAAGTTTCCCCTAACCCTAAACCCTAAACGCTAAACCCTAAACCCTAAACCCTAAACCCTTAACCCTGAACCCTTCAGAAGGGGGCTCGACTTTTTGGAGTGCAAGCCCCTTCAGCCGTAAAACTAGCAAACCATGGGCTGCTGGGGCGAGGGCGCAGAGGATGCTCGACCTCGGCGTTCGGAGCTTTGGTCTTGGGTGGGCACTGGCATTAGGGCTGATAGGGCTTTTCGGGTTTAGGGTTTAGGGTTTAGGTGGCTGGCTAAACCGGCTAAACTTGTTGGCGCTGCGGGCTGCGCGACTATCTCAGCCCAACAGACTGCAAAACCCAAACCGCCTAAAGCCCTGCACACTCCAAACCCGAAGCACTATACAAAAACCCCCTCAACCCTCAATCCCTCAACCCTTCAACTCTTAATCCCCAAACCACCAAGCCTAAAACCCTAAACTCTTATACCAAAAGCCCTTCAACACTAAACACACACACATACACCTCTAAACACGTGAAGCTCTAAACCCTTCAACCTTAAGACCCTAAACCCAAACCCCAAACCCTAAACCCTCAACCCTCAACCCTAAACCCTAAACCCTAAACCCTAAACCCCCGAACACAACTTCTCAGGCTTCGACTCAGAGAGACGAAGCCGAAGAAGGTTTGGGAGGCCTCCACTTCAGGGCTTCAGGGGATGCTCATCTTTAATCAGGGGGGGTTTAGGGTTTAGGGTTTAGGGTGTAGGGTTTAGGGTTTAGGGTTTAGGGTTTAGGGTTTAGGGTTTAGGGTGTAGGGTTTAGGGGTTCGGGTTTGTTGTAGGGTTGCTTCTTGGCCTTTAGAGGGTTCTTACAGAGATTTACAGGGTGCTATAGGGATTGTTATATTGCTATATATTGTGCCGTTCCCTAGATTAGGGTCTATTTTGCCGCCTTACAATAGGGACCCCAAAAAGGGCCGTCTTCTAGAGAAGCGACATATGGCGACATCGGGTCTTTACTGTCCAGAGGGTTGAGAGATCCAGGTGTCGGGTCTACAGCGTTTCGGCGCAATGTACTGTCAAGCTTGCCGGCCTGAAGATGAAGGTCAGGGATTCCAAACCCTAAGCCCTTACCCTTTCTGTGAAACCCTAACCCTCGAGCTCTAACCCTAGAACTCTTAAACTCTAAGCCCTCAACCCTAAACCCTGTAGCTCTAACCACAGAACTGTTAAAACCCCAAGCCCTAAACCCTAAACCCTGTAGC